CTCTGGACCCTTGCTGTTGTCTTGCCTTTCTCTGCTGATTTCATGCCTCTTTTATCATTCACTTTCACACAAAACAAACAACACCGAGGATGTCTGCTATGGGAACTAATGTAATCTTTCTGTTCAACTTCTCCTCCATTTTCCACTTTCATTCCTCCTCCTCTCTTTCCCTCTTTCATCCTACTTTTATCCTGATATCCAAACTCTCTTTTTTTTTTTTTTACTGCCTTTTATTTTCCTCTTTTACTTTTTCTTCTGGCCCTGCCGTACTCGCCTTTTCTCTTTTTCTTTTCACCGTCTTCCTGCTGTTGGATGACTTTCCAGTAAATCACTGCACTTGTTCCCAGTCGACATCCTGTTACTGCATCCTGTAAGGCTCAACAGTCTGCTGTGTCGCTGACTGGTCGGCTAATAGTGAATTTTTCCCACGTGCACGGATTCAATTTCTCCTCTCCAGTTGATCCCCCCCCACTTCCTCTGAGTTGAACTGAAAGTCATGGATGTGTAATCCTGGTCTCCCTGTCAGGCTAAGCACCTTTCTCCACTTCCTGCTCTCCTTCTCTTCTCCCCTCTTTCTCTTTTTTTGATTTGCAAATGGGTCTACAATCTGTTTACCCTGGCCAGGGAAGAGTGCTTCGGCCCCTCTGCAAACATTTGCACTCACACTTAAACTCCTGGCGACCAGGGTGCTCGTCCCCCACGTCATGTGAATCAAAAGACGACCCTGTCTGCCCACATGAGTATGGAAATGTCATGCTCCGCCAGAGGTCCACTGCAAGTCTCCCTGCATCAATACACACAGCACAAAGTTTTACTAGACGTTTGCTAAATTTGTGTGGTCAGTTAGGTTAGTGGGCAAAGATAGGGCTGCAAATAACAGTTATTTTCTTTACTTTAATGTCTTGATCATCGTTGAGTCTGTAACATGAAAAATTCTCCAAGTCCAAGGTGACATCTGACAAATATTTTAGATTTACAATGATTATAAATGGAGAAAAATAGAGAACTTTTGCTTGAAAAATTACCTAAAAAAAAAACTACTTTAATTGAAGATAAATCACTTTAAAGTGCTTCATTTTCTGTAGAAGTACAGTCATACTGTGATGTGTACAGATGTGCGCACTGACTTCAATATGTTTTTATTTTTCTGTCTGTGTGTGTGTCAGGTGTTTGTGGCCTCATCGTTCCACAGGAGGACATGCCATTCTGTGACTCGGGCATCTGTCCAGATATTATCATGAACCCTCACGGATATCCCTCCAGAATGACGGTACGACTCTTCACAACTCTCTTCTCAATAAATCAGAGCCCATGGTGATATATTCAGTTTACAGCTGCAACTAATGATTATTTTCATTAGTAATCAATAAGATAATTATGTTCTTGATTCATTGGTTTGTTTGGTCCTTCCCACAGCCCAAGATGACGTCTTCTCATGACTTTTGTCTGACCAACAAAATTCAGTTTAATTGAATTAAATTTGCCTAAAAAAAACAATTAATTATTATCAAAATAGTTGCAAATGATTTAATTGACTAATGTGTCAGAGTGTAACATGTAGCGTTTGTCCGGGAGGTCAAATCAACTCTTGTTTTGGTGAAAAGTTGGTCATTTGACACCTAATCCAAAACCTAGTACACAGTTGTTATTTGTGATTTTTGGCTGCGGGTTCAGTCTGAATCACCTCCGTCTCTGTGTTGACCGTCGCTCTTCATAAGTTTGTGTCCTCTCTTCTGAGACAAAACCCTCATTATCCCCGCTCCTCTCCTCTCTGGGTTATCATTGGCTTCCAGAGCACACGTCCATTGACACCGCCAAGCAGCAATCGTACTGTTCACAAACAGATATTTGTTGCTGCGGAGACGGCTGCCAGCGAAGCGGCCGCCTGTAGCAGTGTGTGGACGTTTTTTTTATCAAACACGCACAATACATCTGAACTGTAAGATGGTTGCTGAATGTGAATGACATGAAAACTTGGCCCCCGTTTCTGCCTGCTTTTATGTCCCTTACACTGTAAAAACTGGAGTGATCTTTACTGCTGAAGTTGTCAGTGCCAGCGTGTTTGCTCGCTGTGGTTGTCATGGAAAAGACTCAGAAATGTTTGGCTCGGGAGGATGTTTCTGTGGCCTGAGAGTGAAATGAGAGTAGGTGTTTCCTTTTATGTGATGGGGTCAGGGGTCCTCTGGGTGTGACCTCAGTGGAATTGTCGAAATCAGTCATCCTTAGACTGCTGGTCCCACCCCGAGGGGTACATGTGTAATCTAATCTCACCCACAATATCAACATTTGGTGCCAGGAGAGAATGTAAATCACAAAGGATTTATGGTGTAAACAAAGCCATTGTTACATTTCTGTCTGATTCTGTCAGGTGGGAAAGTTGATTGAGCTGCTGGCTGGGAAGGCGGGAGTCCTGGACGGACGGTTTCACTACGGTACGGCCTTCGGAGGCAGCAAGGTGAAGGATGTGTGTGAGGATCTCATCCGTTATGGATACAACTACCAGGGCAAAGATTACGTCACTTCAGGAATCACTGGGTAATAAAGAGATCATGTCTCATCGCATTAAACACAGCTCACATACACACATTTTCCAAAGCATATCATATTTATAGGCGGATTTTCTTAATGGTTGTTTTCAGTTTTTTTTTTTTTATGTATTTTTGACGAAAACTAGCTTGTGTGGACAGAAAACTATAAAATCTGAATTTCCAACATATTGAACCCTTTTTTCAGACTCATGAAAGACTTTGTACTTTTTATTAAAAAGTTTGCAGCTGAAGCGCAACTTTTGTTTTTAATAATGAAAGAAATAAAAAAGTATTTCTTAATAAAATGTCCACGTTCACTTCAGACTGGAATTTGTTTATCTGGGCTGCACATAAGTGAACATTCATGGGTTTTGTTTGGAGACTTTCTTGTTGCTGTTTTCTTTCATACTGTCATACTTATCTTTTCATAATTTTTCTCTACTGTTTCAAATCTGCCTCCCAAAAGGAAAGATGGTGGTTTAGATTTTGAACAACATAGCTTGGCAGCCAGTGCAGGATGTCTGAGCTTCCCAGAGTCACCTGAATGCACCATCATTCTCATGGTGTTTAAAGCTGCCTCCGCTCCTTCATATATGAGAAAGTGTAACCAGGAAATGTTTGGTATTTTTACTGGATAAGTGACAGATTTTTCTCTTATTGGCTGTATTTTCTTTAGGGAACCTCTGGAGGCTTATATCTACTTTGGACCGGTGTATTATCAGAAACTGAAGCACATGGTCCTCGACAAAATGCACGCCAGAGCCCGAGGCCCCAGAGCTGTTCTCACCAGGTAAAATCAGTGGTCTTATTATAATTACATAGAACTAACATGTTATCTATTACACTAGTGATAGTATTATGCTTCTTGTGGAGATGTATGAAGGCTGTTCTGCAGTTAATCTTCACCAGTTTCCTCACGTGTTATCAATTGTAGTTTTATGTCAACGACTACATCCGAGACACAGAAGCAAGTCAAGGTTTTTGTCAGAAATAGTAAAAAATGTGAACTTTAAAAGCAGTTTGCATAACAAACTATTTTCTGTCTTCTGTTTCACCCATTTGTATTTTCCGAATGCGTCTGTCCTGCTTTCAGGCAGCCGACGGAGGGCCGCTCCAGAGACGGAGGTCTGCGTCTGGGAGAGATGGAACGTGATTGTCTGATCGGCTACGGAGCCAGTATGCTACTGCTGGAGCGCCTCATGATCTCCAGTGACGCTTTTGAGGTGGACGTGTGCGGACAGTGTGGCCTGTTGGGATACTCGGGGTGGTAAGTTAAAGGTTTTTCTTAGAAACCAGTGTACGGGCTAAACTTTTTAACTCTAACTCTTTGTATGAAACACCCTGGAACAATCGATGTGAGAACTTTTCATCACATGATCCAGTTTGTATTAACACATACCGAAAGACACCATAGCATTTCTCAACAAAACTCCCCGCTCCCCGGTAGCCGTTAAGTGTAATTACCTGTGTTGTGTTTAGATGTCCGTGCAGTGATTAAATGTCTATCCTGTGGTAATGTTGTGTGTATATGTGTATGTACAGAAGGTGGCAACAAATTTCCTAAAAAGGACAATAAAGAATCTATCTATCATTGTCTTTTTCAGGAAAATGTTTCTTAAACAGCTTAACATCTGTATCTTTATGGATTATCATTTCTACATCAGCCCTACTGTAACTGGGCTCTCATTGGCTACTGACTCTAAATCTCTGGCCATTGATCACCACAAGGTGAAGCTGGACAATAAACAGAGAGTTTACTAATCCAATATTAGGAGAGAACTTTCCCCAGGTGTTCTCAAGAGCTCATCTCCCAATAGTGTTGTGCAACATAATGAGTGCTTCTGCTTAAACAGTTGTAGATCTGGAAGATGTTTTATCTTATAATGCAGACTACTGTCGCCTGGATGAATACAGTACAGTCATCAGTCCTCTGGTTTGTCTCCAGTCTGATTCTCAGTTTGTTTTTATCTTCCAGGTGTCACTATTGTAAGTCTTCATGCCACGTTTCCTCCCTGCGTATCCCGTACGCCTGCAAGCTGCTGTTCCAGGAGCTTCAGTCCATGAACATCATCCCGCGACTCAAACTGTCGCGCTACAACGACTGACCAGGACTGGGACAGAAACACAGTCTGTGTGAGTGAAAGGTTTTGAGTTAGAGATTTAATTTACAAAGTCGGAAACGGATTCCTTTGTAAAAAAGGCTAAAAGCTTTAAAAAAAAGAAGACATTTTTGTTGGTGTTCACAAACTAAAACAATGTGAAGTTTCTCATTTATGTTGATACCTTCTCACCATTATGCTCTTTGTATGTGTACATAATAAACACAAAACCATTGTTTCGTAATCAGCTGCTGTGTGTGGTACTATGTGATTACTTCTAACTTAATTACAAATAGTAAATTAGGTACTTTATGACGATGCTCTCCTATCCAAACAACACAACATTTACATGAATAATAACACGAGGAACAAACTGCTGCAGTCCATGAACAGTGTGCACCCCTTTTCTTTTGTGTCTTAAAAAAGAAAATCATTGCTTTTGCATGTTTTAATGCTACAAATCATGAGCTTTATTCCTTGTATTTAAAGCAAAAACATTCTTGAGTTTAGGTAATCCACTCCAGTAGTTTATTTAGTTCAGCCACCGATGTCTCAAAATTCCCAAAAAGAAAACCTTGAAAAAAAGACATTACTATTGGGTATAATATAATATAAAATTGCCATTTCAATTATCACGAGGTAAAAAAAATACTCTTTAAATATGTAGTATATTTTACATAATCCGAGCATAGTTGATTGGCAGAGTGAATTAAGGGAACTTGGGATTTTACAACAGCACAACAGGTGTTTGCTTTTGACCCGTGACCCATCATTAAGTTTCAGTTTTGGCCCTCCAAGGGAAAACAATTGGGCACCCCTGGTCTATAGGGTTACTTATGGTGTGTTAATGTGCTAATAAAATCTCCAAAACCTAAGCTTTGACAATCAAACATGCACATAATAATAATCTGAATCTGACAGCTCCTCACATTAAAACTATTTGGCCTATTATAATACATGAGATCAGTGCATCAACATCCCAACAACAGTTATAATACAAATTTTAATTTATTTTCTCAAGAAATTAAATATAAATTGACCTCACAGAGTATTTAAAAAGCTAAAAACAATGAATAAGCACTTGCAAATTTCCTGATATGTTTACTGGTTCTGAAGAATCTGGATTCACCTCTGTGGGAGATCACAAAGAGAAGAAGAACTCATTGTTACAGTCAGCCTGTAGGGGGAAATCATCTGCATTTAGCAGAAGGGAAATATCAGACTACAGTTGGGTGATATGTCTGAAATCTCTATCACAGTATTTTAATAATAGAAAATAAGTGTATTTCCTTTATTTATTTTATTGATTTATGTCTCAACTGAACAAATGTATGCATTATCAAATAGAAAATAATGAATATTTCTCACTTTAATGCATCACATGAGCCCAAAATCTTCACGTGTTAAACAAAATACTCGGCCGGCACAGTTTCAGAGTCCAAGATCATTTCATCGAATGTTTTATTTGAAACGACCAACAGTCCTGAAACCGAAAATATTCTGTTTACAATCGTAGAAGAAAATTAAAACTACAAATATTTACATTTGAGAACCAGAGGAAGTTTGATTTCTTTTACTTAAAACAATTGTTGTTGATTGATTAATTAACTAATCACTGCAGCTTTCTAGTGATTATACGTCACATCATCAGGATATGATTCTCCTGACAATCGTTGAGAATGTCAACAGAGTTGAAAATTAGCTGAATTATCAACCAGCTCTTATTAAACTCCATAAGGATCCAACTGGCTGAGCTAAAAGCATCAAAAGGAGTTTTGTTTGGGTTGTTTTTCTGTTGATAATTGAAGTTTCTCAGCAGATAGTGAAGGACGACTCTCATATAAATTCCACGTGATAAGCAGACAGCTGGATGCTAAATACGACAATGTTGAGCAACGACGCGTATACGTCTCTATTCGTGTCAATAGGAAGAAAAAGTTGCTTTATGGTTTCCTCTTTTAAACCGAAGCCTTAATACCACCAACATGTCGTATGTAGCGTAACCATACCCCCTACTCGCACATACACACACAACTCAATTGGGGCCTTTTCACTGAACAAAAGCAGTACACATCCGTTTGTGCAGGCAGAGTGTGTGAGAATAGGAAGGGTGGAAGAGGCTCTTTTGGTGGCTGCACCTGTCCTATTTTATGAGGCTCTAATAAGCAGATAACAGGATGAAAAAAAAAAAAAAGGACGTCCACTGAGGGAGATGCAGACGCCACCTTCTCCTTAATTGACAGAAATTAATTAGATCCTCCTTTGAGGTCACGGCTTTGTAACAGCCACCATTTACGCCTTTGATTATTGTGTCATTAATGAGTTGTTATAGTATATTTATTATTTAATTTCTTCTTAAGCTCGAAGAATCTTTGCAGACGAGCCTAAATGATTTCCTGGTATGATGATGCAGGTTGTTTTTTTTGCTTTTTTAGAAGCCCTTTTGACCTGTCACTCATTCCAACAAGTCGTTTTTTCTTCCTGTATGAGTCTGAATGGATGCACGGACCTGTTATAACCAGCTATGCACAGAGAGGTCCGTGCAATGTTGCTGCCACCCAGTCCCACACGTGCTCTCAGGTAGCTGCACGGTGTGTGTCGGTGAGTAGCAGCAGTGGTGCCTGCGCGCTGGTAGAGAAAGTCCTCCTTTGCTATCCATGGTGTGGTGAGTAATTCAGCCATAATCCGCCTTTCTCCTCTCCCCTCTTCTTTCCCCTCTCCTCTCCCCCTCTCCTGTGGTTCCATTCATATTCTAATCACAGCTTTCCCTTCTCCAGCTCTCAGGCACTCCATCAGAGCCCTCCCAGCCTCGGGCTTTGCACTTTTACTTCCCCCCCTTTGTGACCGTTCCCTCTTCTGAGAGGCACACCAAAAATAAGGTTGCCACAGCGAAACAGTGAGCGAAAAAGAGGGTGACAACTCCACCAGAAAATTCACACTGGTGCCATTTTTAGCATGTTCCTATGTTCGTCCGAGCACGTGGTTTGTCGACTCTGAGAAAAAGTTAGCACAAAGATGGTTTGATGGTGGAATGAGGTGAGAAACTGACCAAATGTGGCAGCAAGTGTCTGCAGGATGTGAAAATTGGGAGTTAAAATCAGAAGGAAAAGCAGGAGCGGCGGTTGTGTAGGGATGTATGTTTATATGGAGCTCTGGGGTGTATAAAAACGTATTAAATGCCATAATGGAAGACGGGGAGGCCACAGTGTTAGGACTGCGTAGATCTAAGCCTCTTTTTTTTTTTCGTTGGGAGGGAGCTTTTCTTATTCAAAACAGCCCCACAAAAGACTTCCAGTGAGCCTTGCCACATCCCCATCTGACTTGGGGCCATTCATCAGCCTTCCAAGCCTATCAATGACATGTCCCCATCAGGGCTCCTATAAAATCAGCCCCTTTCCCATGAAACATCAGCAAACATTTTGACGGGTCTGGCTTTCCCCCCGCTGGATTTCTGGAGTCTCTACCCCCCTTTCCTCCCTTATTCCCACCTCCCCCCTCTCCTCCGCCAACACCACCCCTCTCTGGGCGAACCTCAGATCCTCAACATCTCCTGTGACGGGCAGTGGTCACGGAAACAGAGAGCGAGACAAGGGGAGAGCCACTGAGGAGGGGGAAACGTGCACTAAACCATTTTCTTGGAGGAGCCAGTGTCGTTGATGGGAAGAGGATGCATTGCGGGCTGCTGGAGGAGCCTGATATGGATTCCACAGGTCAGTCCTGTTAAACTGTGATGGCTTTGCCGTGTGTGGATTTCGTCGAGAAAACTAGCTTCTGTTCGGGAAAAAAAACATTGTGTGAGCTGCTGCTGCTGCTCTTCTGGAAGTCTCAAACTTTCACTGCAGTACTTCAGCGCGAGGGTCTGGATGCTCAGCTGTTGTTTTTTTTTTTTTACTTTTAATGACTTGTTTAAATTTTGTTATTCATGAATTTGTGTTTTCCAGTCACACACATTTTTTGAGAAGTGCTGTTATAAGACACAGTTGTGCAGGGACTAAAGAAAAGTCACAGAAAGCAAGGAAATAGCCCTTAAATCTCCAGTATTGATAGGAGATTGATCAATTGGAGAAATAAAAACAGCAAGTGCACATCACGGTGCACTTTAAAGTCTTATCCTCTTTTTGCCTTGTTTTCCTGGGTGTTTTTTTAGTCCAAAATCAGAAAACCAAGGCGTTTATTCAACTTGAAAACTGCATTTTACTGAGAATCTATCAGTAAAATATTTGTATATCTTATCTGGTAAAAGTAAATTTGTTTTCAGAAACATTGTTGATTCATGTCCAGTCGGATTTAAAGAAACTATTAAACTGTTGAGAAGCGGCTCAGTATGTTAAAATGAGTAAAGGTGATGAATGGAAGTAAATCTTTGCTTAAAGGATTTTTAAATAGTTTATACTAAACCAAAATGCCGGTGCAGCGTAGAGTAGTTTAGTCCTGAATGTGTTAATAAATGAGTGAACATCCGTTTCACTTGTTGATCAAATTTAATCCAATTATTTAGATCCCCAACTTATCTGTTCCTGTGGCAAATGAAGCTTGAGGTCTGAGCCACTGTGGAGAATTAGCTTCACTTCAGTGGATTCACTTTTTCATTTCCAGGGTTTGTTAGGTTTGTTTTTTGTTTTTTTAGGTAGAAAAGAAGCCAACACTGTCTGTAAATGATGAGACGTGTCAGAAAGCCGCCAGTGACACTGATGGTGTTTTATTCAAATGCAAATGCACAGGTTGCTTTCTTTTATTTCTTATCGTATAACAGGAAATATAATCGCCATGTAGAGTGCTATTAATCAGTGAGTAATCTTAAAGGTGTTGGTAGTAGATCCTTAAAGACTTCTTATGAATATATTTCTCTTAAAAAGTTGAGCTCAGAGTCTGTGTGTTTGCAGCGACGATGAGACTCTAAACTACTGTCCGACCTTTTTACTGTCAGCACGTGCCAAACAGTGAGGTGTAGATTCCTCGTCGAGTGTAAACTTTCTAAAACTTTTGAATATATGTGACCTCCTTTGAATCCCCCCAAATGGGCTGCACCAACAGGTCACCCTGCCAGCAGTCTGTCCTAGCAACAGCTGCTATGGTGATTGTTAGTTCACATGCAGAAATAAAAAAGATAAAAACACAATTAAGAAATATAATGTTGAAGAGCTCAGAAGTAACCGGTTAAGTACTTTTTACTTTAGTGCTGTGTGTACTAAAATACAAGTACAAACATTGCTTTTCTGTTTTAGGCTGCATATAATGGTTTTTATTCAGAGTTAATATTTTTTTTAGGGCATCCAGTTAGTTGTAGCTTATTATTCTAATAGAAAAATAAAGCTTTGCACTCAAATAAACCAGAATATTACTCATGTACAATCTCCTTCTTGATTATATTCATCAAATACTGAATAACTTTCCTGAAAAAAAAAAAAGAATTTAAAATGGATTTCCACTCTACTTATCAGTCCGTTTCTACATGAAAGCTTTAGTGTTTTGCTGCTGCTCGCTCACAGAAAGCACACCAGTTGAGCTATTTCTAAGTAGAAATTAAAACAGGACAATGGCCTCTATTCCACCAGACTGCTTCAGTAATGTGCACAGGCTCTTTTAAGCAACTGTGTACGCTCGTAGTTTCCTGGGAACAATGCTGGATTCCTGCCGTCCTGGTGAAAACATCTCAAATAGAGCCATGGCTGCACCGCTGCCCATACAATCGATTGTTGTCAGCTCGCCCTGTCACATTAGTGACATTTAAAGTGTCCTGTATAGGCAGTGATTTGCACTGTTTATGTAAATACAGCTTTGGCTCTATTCAACTGCAGGACAAAATGAGTTCACCCCAGAAAGTTTTTTAAATTGACAATTTAAATTTGAATGAATATTAATACAGAAAAAATACACCAAAACCTTTTAGCTAAAGACAATTAAAGAATCCCACTGTTACATCTTTAAAAATCCTATTCTTATGATTCATAATTTTTTACCTTCTGTCTGAATAACAACATAAAAAAAAGGTTTTTCTGAGCTGTACTAATAGGTGATCTGTGCTCAATCATTTCTTTTTTTAGAGAGCTGGATTGAAAGATGCCTCAACGAGAGTGAGAGCAAGCGATATTCCAGTCACACGTCTCTGGGGAACATGTCCAACGACGAGCGTAAGCAGCACAAACACTGTTAACTACTGACTTCACTGAGGAATCCTGTCAACTCTTGTTGTGTTGTGTGTTTCCTGGACTTTATTTATTCATCTTATAGTTAGTGTTTAGTGCTATAAACATCATTCAACCAGAGGAAATAACATACAGTGTTTTGCACATTAGTGTGGGTTATATGAAGTCTCATTGGTGCCACATTTGTCTCATTTTACGTAAAATAACTTAATTTCATCCTAAAAATCCACAATGTGTTGAATGTTACAGATGAAGAAAAAGAAAACAACAGAGCCTCTAAACCACATTCGACACCGGCTACCCTGGAATGGTAAGTAATTAAAAATAAATTTGTATTTTTGAAAAAAAAAGTGAAAGAAAATAGAGAAAATCTAATTTTTGTGTCAAACAGCAGTAATCAAATGCAAATATTGAGAATTAATATAAAAACTATGAAACCCAAAATAGGTTTTTAATAAATTAAAGCTTCCACTCACCAACATGAAACATTAATGCTAAAAATCAAGCCTAAAATTATTTGACCAAGTTTAGAGTGATACACACATAACTGTGGCACATAGCAGTGGTAACTTGGTGGTAAAGCCTCTAAGATTTCCCTCCTCATTTTCTAGTCCCGTTAGATATTAAAAATGTGAATAGTTTTACATGACACAGACAGATGACACCAGTTTCTCTTCACACTGGGTTCTGTTCTGGCTTTATTATGTATATATAGTAAACTATAAACACAGATGTAAGTGACTTCCTGCCTTTGAAATGTTTTTTTTTTTTAGTAACAACAAGGAGAATTTAGAAAAATCTGTTTTTAAGTTGTTTTAATTTAACATCTGATCATGATAATCTGATCAAATGCCATTTTATGTTTTATTTGTCCTCAAGCGAAAATTTGTTTTGCACTCATTGTACGCAGACACAGACTTAAAAAGAAGAGCAGCTTCAATCTTTCACATCCTCTACGTGTATAAAATGCAAACCCCACACTTGCCTCTAGTTTATATGTGCCTGCCTGTTGCACAGCCACGTGACCAGCCTTTACTTAACAGCATTCAAAAATGCACATAGGCTTAAAATTAATATTTATAGACATTCAACCTGCACTGTGGGGGGGCTAGAACCCTGAGTGAGGAACATGAGTTGGGTTGTACCATTTTAAAGAGAAGCATTATAGACATAAATGCTGCTGTAATTGGCCTCACCTCACTGTGCATAAGTATTGTATGTGCAGGTATAATAGTGAAATACTAGAAATTTTACCTCCATTTTAGCAGAATGTTATAGTTAAAGTTTACAACCGTAATATTTATACCAGAACATTACAGATTACAGGTTTAATAAAACAATACGGTCAGGGCTCATATAAGAAGAGCACCAGGCTCTTACAGTAGCCATATTCTGTATATTCCATAATAATAAAAGTGCGATGTAAGAGGCGTTTACTTTTCATCAACATTATAAGTGAAACAGTAGGTGCCAGCTGAATTTATCTAACAACTGAAGAAGCTAACAGACGAGTTGTATAAATAAAAATGCAACTTGTGATGCATGATGAGGTGGTGGCAGGATTCAGTGTGTTGTTTAACATTGTGGTTGCTGGTACTGATGCTGGTGTACCTCAAGGCTTAGGTTTGGGTACGCTCTTATTTAGTTATTTGACCTTTTATTGTTACTTGTACAAGGAAAACGTAATTAAATATAAGTCTGTTTTTCTAGTTTGTATGGGAATACTGTGATACCACATTCAAATATGTATTGAAAGCAAAGAGGCTTTAAAGATGCATTGAGTGAGTTAACTTGTTGGACCGTTAGGGGGAAGAAATACTTACAAAACAACCTTAAAGCATCACAGCACAGACGTTTCAAAATGTTTTACAGTCAAAACAAAGAACAAAAAGCAAATAAAATCCAAATCACAATAAAATAATTTTAAACAATTACACAAAAAATCACATTTCTGGACATCCAGTTTTTAGTTTCAGGACATATTGATGGCACCAGGCTTTATTGGGTAAATAAAAGGGGACCCAGAATACACTCCTGGGGGACCCCAGAAAAGAGAAGAGCGTGAGAGGAGGGGACGTTTCCAAGCATAACAGTGAGAGACCTATAGGACACATAAGAGATAACCAATTCACTGATAACTACTAAAAGCTTTAGAGTCGTGTTTTGCTTCTCATTGGGATTCGAAAGTGCCAGCAACTCTTCGACATTACAGGGAATAATTTTATTCAGTGTTAATTTCTACTTTATTTCTTAATGGAGATTTAAATAATTCACCAGATCAGTAAAACAGAACTTTAACCAGGTTGTCATATAAGACAACACTAAAACCAACGTGAACCTTTATATGTATGAACTGGAAACAAAAACACATATGATCACTGTAAAATTATCATGAAGTACAATCTTTTTATACATTTTATTTCTCCTGTTATTATCATCAAGTAAATTACCTTTTGGACTTTGGTCTATTACACATGTTCCTCCAGGAGCAGGTGTTTCTGTCTTTGCAATCAGTGATATCTGAGTTGTCTTGATGCTAAATATGATAAAGTTGTGTGCTGCAGTACATCTACTGATTGCTGTGTGTTGCTGAACATTTAAATCCTGTTGCTGATTGGTTCTGTCTGTAGAGTTAAATGTCTGTGACTGTTTATGTGACATGATGTGAGCGTACTTGATGCTGCTTTAAGGTGCATGAAGTTGCTGGTTAAAATTATATTACTGTGCTTTTATTCAGTTATTTATTTTCTGTTTTGACTTCATGGGCTTGCTACATGTGACTATTACATTTTATGTTTATAGAAATTTGCCATAATTGTTATTAATGTACCTGCATAAGTAAATATAATTTAAACTTTAACACCATATTATCATTTATTATTTCACTGCATTGATTCTTTATGCTGACATGGATGTAATCTGGCATCCTAAACATTCACACTGTAAATTAATCTACATTTTCCCCCATTTATACAAAAAAAAAACGATGATTCTCTTATTTCATCTCATTCACAAACTTCAATATTTGATTTTTTTTGACAGGCTAGAAGAGAACTATGAGATAGCCGAAGGTGTGTGTATCCCCCGAAGTGCCCTCTACATGCATTACCTAGACTTCAGTGAAAAGCATGACACACAGCCTGTGAACGCAGCCAGCTTTGGAAAGGTAAGATTCAAAGGTTAAACCGTCTGGCAACTCTTTATTACCTCCCGCATCCAATTTAACCGAAAATCATCTTTAAATGTCATAAAAACACACAAAATCCATTAATTCTGTCATCTGTCGTCAGCATCTCTATTTAAAATGTCTGATTTACTACGCAGATGATTTGCAGTTGAGCATTTCTCAGTTTTTTAGGGTTTTTAATATACATTTATACGTGCGCTGTGAGTTTAATCAAAACAAAATGACTCAACAGAAGAACAATATTCGGATGTTGTTACCCCTATGAAAGCAATAATCTCTGGCACTAAATCAGCCATAAGCATTAAGTCTGACCATTTCATGCCTGGGTTGGTTTTTGTGCTGCAGCTCTGGCTGCTGTTGAAGTAATATCAACTGCAGCTCAGTGTGAAGCAAGCAAAGCTCTGCGGTCGTTCACTGAACACATAATCTAGAGCCAAAGGAGATGTGCTTTCGTCTGTTCCCACAACCCCAAGAAGTTCCTCAGCCTTCCTACCCCCAGCAATCCCCTGTACTCTGGACTCCGGCCCCAACCCCCAACCCAGCCCACCACCACCACCAACCAAAGACGCGCCCCACCCCCACCCTCCCCGCCGCCCCTCCGCAGCTCCTGTCGGAAGATATTGAAAAAGAGAAGGGGCCTGGATTAATGTGTAATTAAAGGAAATTTGGAAGGGTGAGATGTTGCGGAATGTTAGATCAGTGGCTGGAGCAGTGTGGGGTGTCCTTTAGGAAGGCTTCATTGATTCAGGACAAAAAAACGAGAGAGGGCCCGGACTGCCTCCCTGTCTGCTCATTTATCAAGCGGGGCCTGACAGAAACTTCACAGCTTGCCCTCTTTTTTCATCCCACACAATGGAGAGCTACACTGTTTGCTAAAGTTTCTGCACCAGGAGCTGGACCGAGGAGCCAATCTCTTTTGGACAAAAAAAAAAGAGAGGAGAGAGAGAGAGAGGAAGAAGGAGGGAGTGGAGAAGAGAAAGAGAGCGAGCAGGAGAGAAGATGGGTGGGAGGATAGATGAGGGGAGACTGTTGATATAGGGAAAAAAAAAAAGTAATACCCCTGAATGTCATAAATGGATGGCTCCCAAAGCTTCTTTTTTTTTTCCTCACAGACCTCCCCGTGGTCACAGCTATGAGACTTTCATGTTGTTCTCCTGACAAACCTAATTAAACACTTTCTCATAAAGAACTGAAGATACTGTAGATCAGTAATTTCTGACAAGTAATTCTGTATTTGTTGTGTATTAAAAAGTCTAAGTTGATATTCTATAAAGATCTTATTTGTGTCACCTGCTTCCACCTCCTGTTTATTTCCCCTTTTACTGTTACAAACTCCTGTGAAAGGCTGAGAGGAATTTGCTGTAAGGATATAAGTTAAAATTCTCTCTTTCTGTAGCACACTGACAACTTTTTCTCTCTTCCAATGAACAGATCATAAGGCAACAGTTTCCAGCGCTGACTACCAGAAGACTGGGGACAAGAGGGCAGTCAAAGTGAGTTGGTTTGGTTTTATTATGTCATAAACTACCTACATATTAGACACTTATCCACAAACCCTGCCCCCCCAAAAAAAACCAAACAAAAGACATAGATTCAAGACAAAGTGTGAAGCACAGCATGTTAGCAACATTAAAAGTTAAAATTACTCATTAACTCAAATAACTCCTGCATTTGTGAGATTCTTTAATTTTAAAAAGTAGTAGAAATCAGCTAATTGTAGACTACGTGCACATTTAAAAAAATCACAGAGAAGCATGTAATCTGAAGAACCAAACTTACTTAAACAAATGTATAATAAATGATGTATTACTTTTCTTTCACACCTTTTTTTAACCTATGATGATCCTAATATGTCCCTCTGTTTTGTTCAGGTACCACTACTACGGCATAGCGGTGAAGGAGACCTCTCAGTATTATGACGTGATGTACTCCAAGAAGGGAGCGGCATGGGTGAACGAGACGGGGAAGAAAGAGGTTACGAAGCAGACAGTGGCGTATTCACCGCGCTCCAAACTGGGAACGCTCCTGCCAGAGTTTCCAAATGTCAAAGACCTAAATTTGCCTGCCAGCCTGCCAGAAGAGAGGGTAAACAGGAGTTTTAAAAGTCCATCCTTACAGCTCTCCCCCTCCTCCCACCTCTCCCTGCCATCTCACCATCTCTGCGCCCCCTCTGGCTCCAGCCTTTTATCTGCCCCGGGACCTTCACTGGGTTTGCATTTAGAGAAGGACCTTGAGGATTTATATGCTGGCTCCTCACTAACTCTTAATCTTTTGGGGGAGATAATAAGATCTAGCAATGGACAAAGGACAGGCACTAGCTGTCCGGCTTTTAAAGAGGGGCCATGATTTTAAATGGTTTGTGTTTTGCTGATCTCTAAAGCTCGGTTTATATCACTCTGTTCCAGCCTAGACCTGTAACATGTATTTATTGATTCACATGCTTTGTGCAAGATTTATTTTCTTGTTTTTGTACCACTTTTTTAGTTTCCCAAAAGAGAGGGGAAAAAAAGCTATTAAGTTTGTGATGCAATGAGATTAATATTCTGTTGTTACTCACAGGTGTCAACCTTCATCATGATGTACAGAACGCATTGTCAGAGGATACTGGACACTGTTATTCGAGCCAACTTTGATGAGGCAAGGTTTATTCTGTTTTAAACCATTTTACACATCAAATCTGCCTAAAAAAAACTGTTTGATTGAACTTTTATTTCCTGTAATACTGAATATTGCGGTGTGTGTGTGCTGTATTTTCAGGTCCAAAGCTTCTTGCTGCACTTCTGGCAGGGCATGCCGCCCCACATGCTCCCTGTCCTCGGCTCCACCACGGTGGTGAACATAGTTGGTGTTTGTGACTCCATCCTCTACAAGGCCATCTCTGGGGTGCTGATGCCCACCGTCCTGCAAGCACTGCCTGATAGGTGAGCATGTGTTGTAACCTTTGCTCCTAAAATAAGTGATTTTGTACCATTTTTCTGCCTGCTGTTACTAAAACTGGATTGGGTGGTATGTTTTAACAACAAACATTTAATTTTATTAAGTGTCTGGTACAGATGATTTGATGATGAGTAAGAGTATAAAATAAGTAAAATGTGATCAAAAACAGTGCTCTAATGCTCAATTCTATAAATAGTTTTTCAATAATGTAGCAACTTCTGATCTACCATATCAATTTCAAGGAGTTAAATTAACAACTTCAGTTAGTCCAGCCCTCTTCCGGTATAAGCCCCGCCCATTCCCAGTGCGGCTATGAACACAGATAATTCAGTTGGTTGCACAGATACAGATAACAGCGTACCCGCTCGTCCTGGAGTGTGAATTAAAGCTGCTGCATCAACCGTAATATCATTTAATTTATCACTTTTTAACTTATAGCCATAAAGTACTTTGAAGGCTTATGGTTGGAAACAGCATTTAGGCTCAAGGTCCTTTTACTTGCTTTTTCTGTAGCTTCTCACGTCTCAGTCTTACTCATCAGATTGAGGTTGATAGTTGAATATCTTTTTTGCAACAATTTTTAACAAAAACATTGACTGAGAGAATAATAACCATAGTCAAAATAATTGTTAGTTGTTGTTCTAATTAAATTATGATTTATGATGTATGTTGATGTATTTAATGTTTTTCTGTTTCCCTCGTCTGCACAGTTTGACTCAGGTTATTCGAAAATTTGCCAAACAGCTCGACGAGTGGCTAAAAATAGCACTTCATGACCTTCCTGAAAACCTGAGGAATATCAAATTTGAACGTAAGTGTAAAATCTCATCATAACAGTTTAACATCTTCACACAAAGTTTGTATGATGACACGCCGTATTGTTTTCTCCTCTTCGTTTCCAGTGTCCAGAAGATTTTCTCAGATTCTAAAGCGACAAACATCCTTAAACCATCTATGTCAGGTGCCTGTCACGCTCTGAATGTTTTTTTAATAAAATCCATATGAACAAACACGGCTGATAAGGGATATGGGTATGCTTGTAAGTAATATTGTTGATTTATCTGTCCCCAGGCATCACGGACTGTGATAAACAGTGCCGACATCACCTTTCAAATGTTGGAGGACTGGAGGAATGTGGACTTGAACAGCATCACCAAGCAGACACTTTACACCATGGAGGACTCACAAGAGGAGCACAGGCAGCTTATTATCCACTGTAAGTCCACGCATTTACGTTGATTCCACTCGAACGCACGCTGCCAGACAGAGAATTACACTCTACTTCCACACAAACAACACATAGAAGGGACAGTCATTCCCACGACCAGCAGAGTCAAAGCATAAATGATGGAGACCAAAAGGTTAAACAAGTTCACTCTCCTCTGAAACGCCCTGTGGAGCATCTCCAATTCAGTCCAGCCCCACTCCTCTGATTCCGTCCTTGCCGGATCAGAGGTCACAGATACGTAGAAGTTGACAGGATGACGCACCGATTTTTTAGCTTTTAAGTGATGTAAAATACTGTGTAACCTGACGTTCTCCCTCCTGTCACAGTGTATCAGGAGTTTGACCGTCTATTGGAGGAGCAGTCTCCGATCGAGGCGTACATCGAGTGGCTGGACTCGATGGTGGACCGCTGTGTCGTCAAGGTCAGACAGCAAAAACTTTTTTAACAGGTCTTTAAGCCTGTTCTGACTCAGCATTTTGTGCATAAAGTATCTGTCTCTTGTTCAAGTTGCACTGATGAAGTTTATACATTTTCCACCACTGTTGCAGAGAAGTGGTTTAAAACGTTTGACGTATTTGTGCTGCAGAAGTCAGATTTTTTTAAAAGAGACACCTGCGGCTGAAATCCACTCGTCCCTGTTGTGTCTGTCTTACACAGAGGCACTTACGTTGCAATCCTCCCAGTTAATGATGTCTTCAAGCTTCCCATTTGCGTCCATTATGTGCCAGATATGGGCTTGTAAAATTTGGTTGCCCTGGCAACGTCTTGGACTGCCCAGACAATAGTTCAATAGGAAGGCGTGTCCCTGGGGGCAAATTAAATAGTTGACTTGTTGACATGTTTTTCGTTCCTGAGGGTTAAGCCCCAATGTGGACCAAGGGGTTAATTCTACCCCGGCATCCCAACCCTTCCCCCTCTTTTCTCATGGAAATGTTCTCTCTAGGTGGCAGGGAAGAGGCCCGGGTGCCTGAAGAAGGTGGCCCAACAGTTCCTGCTGATGTGGTCGTGTTTTGGGACCAGAGTCATCCGGGATATGACCCTCCACAGCGCGCCCAGCTTTGGTGAGCTTTGTCATCATTAGTTAATGCAACAGACAGGAAATACACGCATAATTTGACGGTGCTTCGTGACTGTGCAGAAAAGTTTGTTTATTGTGTCATGCACGAGCCCCCTACCACACAGACTAATAAGCATTGGCGTTTAGGGGGACCCCCTAAAATCTGGCATAATGAAAAACATTTGTTCATAAAAGGAAACATCCTCTTATCCACAAAAATGTTTTTTTTGTGTAAATAGTTGTTAATAACTATTAAATAGGCTATAAATTATTCTCACCATTCAAATTAATGCAAGAAATGTGAATGTCATGCATTTAGCATTTAATATGAGACTTTATATCGACTGATTTTCTCTCAGCACCCCAACTCTGACTTCCAAAAATACAGTTGCAGTGTTAAAATATTTGTCAGACAATAACATAACTTCTTACATTGCTCTTACAAAGAGCGTTTTCTTCTGTTGCAGGTTCTACAAATAAAATAATCTGCCACAATAAAGGCTCCCTTCCTAAAAACAACTTTTTATAATCATCGATCAGAAATTGACATTTTACTATAAAGTGTTGCCCTTAAATCACCATATGACGAGCAATAAAACATTGAAAGTTCTTCTTCTTCAAGGAGAACATTGAACCTGCCTATTTATATAGTGTCTATAGCTTTAGCTGATGGTAGTCTACCTGAATGTAACTGTGCACACAAAGGTCTGCTTCACTTAAGGCAGGATTTAGTGCATCATGAGGCAATATTTGTAATAATTTGTACTTAAGATTTGTTCTAAACACCTATAGATCATCCTTCGTTATACATAAAAATAATCTCTGATTCAGGGATTTCCATGTAAAATGTGCCAGTAAAAGATCTGTTCAGACAAGTTCACAAGTCTTATAATTATACATATATACAGTTTATACATCACCACTGATGGCCAAAGTCGGTGTACATTCCTCTACTGTATGAATCTCAAGTCTAAAATAAGGGGAGAAACAACTAAAATGGCTGCTTTAACAGCTTGTTTGCACAATCAAGGTTTGCAATAAGTGAAGAGTTGTAAAAAAGAAAAGAAAAGAAAATGGCTTCTCTTTCCTCTACTTGTGTCCTTTGGGTCTGTCTGTGAATATCAAAGACACAGCTGGTTGCAGTGGTTTGATAAAGCAGGTCTCTGTGCACAAACAGCTAATTAACAAAAGCCGCCCCTCCCCTCTCCCGATGTGTTTGCCTGTCTTTTCCATTTTATGACCGGTCAGTATTACACCCTGCTCCCTTGAATAGTGTTTATTATGCGCACGACGGCGGCAGCGACCCGCACAATGACACAATTGTGACACTCCTTCACATGCCACGGTCTTCTTCTTCCGTGCGACCTCGGGGGTCTGCTGCCATATTTCTGGCACTGCCTCGGTACACGGAAAAAAATCAAACTCGCTTCTTTTTAATAACAGCAGCCCCCCTGTCAGTCTGCAGGATGTGATGTCGTCACTCGGATGCTTCGGTCTTAATGGTCATCATCATTTATGTCCTATCCAACAACATGGATATCCTGTTGGGGGCTCTTTTTTCCAGCCAACTCAGTCTCTGTTACTACATTAATTACTTTTTAACACACAATAACTCCTAATAACCTCCAAGGTACGAACGGAGGCGGAGCAGAAAGGGGGCATATATAGGTTTCAAGATTAGTAATGCTGTTCACAAATTCCTACCCTACCTATGTCATGTAACTTCAAAATAAAAACATCAGACTATTTTTGCCTCTTTTTAGGTTACAGGGTTGAAAATCCTTGAAGACAGTTGAAGAACAATTAGATACAGAATAGGATGAAGGCTGAATGGATGGATTTCTTCTTTTGTGCAAGAATATCTGTTTTTGCAGAATGACAGACAGTATTCTCAAGCAATTAATGTCAGCTGCCTTGACAAAACATATATCTCTACTGTAAATGGGAAGCGAATCTCCAGGGACACGGCCCCTGACCGCCCCTCCCCCTAGCTCAAGCCCAAATGTTTTAAAGTCTGGCTCCACCCTGCGTACAAATAACACTCGTCTTCGCCCTTATTAAAGTCTCGCGCGCCGGTCGCTCCTCAGGGTCCTTCCACCTGATCCACCCTCATGTTGATGATTATGTGTTTGCCTGCTATCCGCACTGCCATAACCAACCCATAGCCATAAAATACACATCCACCCTTAATTAATCAATAATTAGATGACATTCCTGCCATAAAATGTCCTGTTTGTCCAGTATTTTTTCAAAAATTAATTAAAAATTAAATAAAATAATATTTTACTTAAA